GCGTACGTTTATTGCGCGTACAAATTTAAGGTGGCTCCATACGGTAATCATTTATGGGGTTGCGCACGCAAGTGTTATGTTTTGAATGCTGTTTTTGCTTTAATTTACTTTTGCTTTCTCGCGCGTGATACATGGCGTCACATGAGCGCTCGCATAAGTAAAGGGCATGCACAGTTCAATTCTCGCCCAAGATTGTAAAAGCCAGTCTTTGATCGAGGATTGTTCCAAAACCTACCGTAACACCCATGATGAACTTTTCACAGTTGATTTTTAGGAGTGAATCGCGTTTAGAGCTAAAATTAAAAAAAAAAAAAACTTAAAGACAGATTTTGAGCCATTTTTGATTTCACATTTTCTTAATTTGCGAAAAACCTGTCTCACAGATTTTTATTTTACTTTGCATGAATGTTAGATCAGGGCAAATTTCTTATTCCTGAAATTTTGAGGTGGGGTCATACGGGTTGATTTTGAGAAAAACGTCATTTAACCTACCAGTGCCCAGTCTCTCCTTAGGTACTCGGTCATTCATTTTGGCCATTTGTCGACGTTTAAATAGTTCAAGATTCACCTAGAATGGTAAAGACTTAAGCAAACAGTAAATAGAGAAAGGAAAAACATCTTGGAACATTTTTCAAAAGAGTTAGAAGGTAGGCTGGAATTATCCATCAAAACTGTAGTAAGCCGCCTTAAGTTGCGTAGACATTTATCGGCAGAGTTTTAGACAGTTTCGAGTGAGCATGCGCAGTTGTTGTGCTCTTTAGAAAGTTTTGTGCCGTTTAGAGTTTACCGTTTTACCGATTTGGAAGTGTTTTGGTCGAGTACCGTTCCGTTTACTGCTCACGAACATTTTCTGGCGACCACGACGGGAGAAAGGTATGAACTGGTGTTTGCGCTGAGGTTTCGTTTCGTGTTTTGAGTTTTGAGGTTTAAGTTGTGCGGTTATGGCCTCCGATACCGTTGATACCACTGTTACCGAATTTACTGAGGAAAACGCCGAGCAAACAGGACAAAGTGGAG